CCTGCTTATGCAGGGGGTCGGACTCGATGATCTATTGAGGTCCCTTCTGACCCTAACATCTATGAATCTATGAATCTTCATTATCATTTAGATTTATATCCTGCCCTATCCAGAAACACTAAGAGGCTTAGAACAAAACACCCTTGAGTGTAGGATGGATCCAAATCTACATATCACTGGATCTCTGGGTAAAAATGGCCTCAAGTTTTGTAAAAGTCTGGATGTGAACACAGGTCCTGGTATCCAAGCCACATCATCTCTGAAGCAAAGCCATAATGACAACTGACCCTTCAAAACGTAAGAGGATCCCATCCCGCCAGGTGGTTGGATCACAAAGAACAAGTTTGCAAGGTCTTTAAACCTTCATGCTTCATGGCATGAGCCAAATACCAAGTAATAGGAGTCAAAAGGGCTAGGCTGCCCCATAATCATTTGCTTTGAGCTTTCCTGCAGTTTCCTTCGAAGCAGCTGGTGCTGCTTATTGGTACAGCCAAGCTAGTGGACATAGGGCGCCTGTACACACCACAGGTTTTAATCCTCATTAAATTAAATAGGTTTATAAAATTTAAACTTGTTTATTTTGGAGCGTTGCATCAGTGTTTGCATGCACGAGGCTTTCAAACAAATTAAGCTTTGGAGCATTGTATTATTGTTTGCACACGCTAGGTTTTCAAATGAAATGAGCCCAGTCTCCAGCAAGTGCTTCAGAAAAGTGGGATGGTCCAGTGTTGCTACCCCCTGCAACCTGGGGGCCTCCACCCCATACCCTGTGCCTGTGCCCGTGCCTGTGCCTTTGCCCATGCCCGTGCCGCAGGGAGCTGGCAAACCACACAAGAAAAGAAAAAGTGGAAGCAATTTGAAAGCAAAATCAATTTGAAGAGGTGACCTACAAAAAAGTCACAGCCATCTGGTAAACAAAGAGGCTCATTACACGTCTTTGAGTGCCTTTGCGTTTGCACGCAATTAATCCATGGACGCAACACTTTAATTCCCGCTGAGCCAAACTAAACTACGTCTGAGGAGTTTTAGTTTAATGCACCACAAAGACTTTTAAAGTATCCAGAAATCCAGCTCACGCAAACAGTCATGCAGTTGCAGAGCAAAAAAAGGCAAAAAATGTGGCAAGTACAAAGGCCCTAGGAGGCTTATGAGTCTGAGGGTGAAGTTACACATTACTTGCAGACCATAGTCAATCTGTGGAAAGTGAAGCAGTGTTAAAGTTGGAATGAGCTGTGAGCAGTTGCATTTTAAAGGTTAATACCATCTCTTGCTTGCATCACTCTGACTTGGCACCAGAGGCTCGGCAAGAAGGGGTGAGGCTACACCTGTTAGGTCACAGATGTCGAGTGCTTTCAGAGGTCTGATTGTGTGAAAAAAGTAACCTATGTAAGTGCCCTCAGAGGACACTTAGCATGAGTTAATGAGCCTTAATGTACAGACAGTATGGCAAATGATATGGCTGTATCACAGCTGTGTCAAAAAGGCCTAAGACATCTCAACCTCATGAAATGTACCCAAGGGGCTCATCCAAAACCCGCTAGAATCAATGGGAATTTCTTTATTTAAAAAAGCCTTGGACTTGGACCTTTGGTTTCATCTTTCCTTACAATCTTGAAACTCAGCCCACATTTATCCAGGGACTTACAAACCTTCAGAGTGGAGCTGGACAGAAGCTTGGACAAGTCTGGACCACTTTAAATCTTCCTATCAAATGTCACAGTGCCCTACACTTTCAAAAGGAAAGTTGAGCAGAAGATATGCATTTAAATATGTAGAAATAAGGAGCGATCCCCTGAATAAAAAAGCCTGTTTGGATCAATATTGCTCTGGGAAAAGACGGTAAAAGAATGGGTTCTTCTGTGGTAGAGGTGCAAATCAGATATAGCTGAACTTGGTCCCAGAGGGCTGAATTTGGCTATGGATAGAGACCTCTGTAATGTTATTAGACAGGTAAGTACAATGGGGACTCAGGTCATTGCGGGAGACTAAACTTCCCTGATACAGACTGGAGAAGAAATGCTGATAATGAGAGGGCACAAGCATCCCTGGAGGTAATTGCTGACAGATGATTTCTAACCAAATTTTCACTGAATCCGCAAAAGGCGATGCTGTTCGAGACTGCTTTTTTTTGGAGGCGTTGCAGGCATTGTAGAAGTGATGGTCAAGAACCGATTTGATTCAAAATGGCATGAAAGGATAAGCAAAAGTAGTTCTGCAATTTGCTGCTGTTGTCATTTGAAAAGAGCAAACGTTGGCAAATTAAGGGGATAGTTAATGACTGCAACTGGACCGAATCACTCAAGATATCAAATGTGGAGGAGGTTAGGACTATTTTCAAGCCAAAGGGTCAAAAGCTGTCCAGAACACGTATCCCAAGCAAGGGAGGATGGAAACTTGTTGGGGAGAGCTCTACAAGGAAGATCTCAGCCTTTAGGGGACTGAAACCCAGCTGAAGGCACTCCATCGGTAATAGTCTATCTGGCTGGCAAGTTGTGGACAAGAGGCAACTGAAGACTAGTAAAGGAGGATGGAGCCACATCCTCCTTTACTAGTCATCAGTTGGGGTTGAGAGAGGATCACCAGGGAGGGTTAAGAGCTCCAGGAGCAGAGTGAAGGAAGGGTGGGTTGTAGTGCTGGGAAGAAGCCCAGAGCCAAAGAGACCCCCCCATCCCTGGTTTGGGCTGCTTTGGGTATTGTGACTGTGAAGCCTCTCTGAGACAAATAAAAATGAGTGGGAAAGCTTGAACCTAGAGTTGGCTGGTTTGGACAAGGCAGCTGGGTGAGCAGCTTGCTTCCAGGCTCCAAACCTAAAAGGATGAAGAATCCCCTCCAGCACCATATTAGGAGTAATCAAAGAGTGTACAAGAAGTGCAAAAAGTATCAATCAGCAAAGAAAACCACCTTAGAATCACAGAAAGAAGAAGTGAGGGGTTGGGGGTCAACATTAAAGTTAATCTAGTTACGACTCAAAACAGTAAGTAACACTTGCCCTCAGTTTTCAAGGAAGATTATGAACACAGGGGCAAAAGCAAAGATGGTCACTGGGAAGAAGGGGTGAAAAATAGGGCTATATCAGAAGTAGAAATACCTGAAATAGAAAGGACCAAATCTCAGCATCTCATAAGGGCTCCAGAAGGAAAGCAGGGCCTAGCATTCAATAACGTGGGGAAACAAGTGTAGACCTAATTGGAGTGTGTGGTTAGCAATTAAGAGACAGCAGTTCATTAGGTGGGCTCAAACCCAGCACCATTTTGGTAACAGGATGCATTAGTTAGACCTACACTTATATCTACATGAGGGACCCCTCCGAAGAGGTCAGATCTTAGTTTTCACTTGCTTTTTGACTACCGAAAAAGAATAGAGCAACTTTTCTGCTGCTCAGAGAGCATGACGGGTCAGCATACTTTAACACTATCAATGCCTAGTGGAAATGTCTGGGTTTATCTTGTGAATCGTGCTTGCACACTTCACAGTGCTAGCATTGCGTGGCACTCCACGGCACCGCTGAAAGGATCTCCGGGCGCTCTGGGATGCCACAGCACCATGGTGGAGGATCACTGCACTATTTAGAGATGCTGCCCAGGAGTCTTTAGGTCAACTTTCCAGAGCATAAAAGGAAACATAATGTGCACGAACTCAGAATATTCAAAAGAGAAAAATTCAACAATCGGCCCCAGTTCAGCATGTTAATGAAAACAAGACCATCTCTCTCCCACCTGTGACGATGACCTTGAAGGTCAGTTTTTGGCTGGCAGCCTCACAGGTGTATTCTCCAGCATCTTTCTTCTCCACCTGCTCCACGACCAGCCACCGGGATTTGCCCTTGGACTCCACCTTGAATTTCTTGCTGGCGGTGACCGGTTTCCCGTCCTTGCACCACTTCACTTCGGTCTTGGCCTGGGCCACCTCGCAGCTTAGAGCGGCACTCTCCTTGAGGGCGGCCTTCACCTCCTTCTGCACCTTCTCCTTGTTTGCAAACACATCCTCATGCTCTGCAGGGGGAAAGGGGAGTTTAGGATTTTCTACGCTCATTGTCTTATAGATATAGCACAGTGCTGAGCACGGAGAAGCTTCAGTCCTAAGAAACCATTAGCCACAAGCCTTCTGTGGCTCCCAACGTAATTGCAAATTCAACTTTAACCTTCATAATGATGTCTCTAGGGCACCTCCCTTAAAATAACCAACCCAAATGCTTATGTTCAACCTCTTGTAATTCCTCAGGACAGCCACATGCCATCTGTGCAAGAATATTTCACCTCTGTCTTCCTTTTACTTTACCTATTAGACATCGTCTTTTGCACAAACTTTCCTTCCTGGTCATTTTAATTTCCTTTTAAAGATTAATGTTTGCTTTAAAGTAAACGATGGCATTAAAGGGAAGACAGGCAGGCTGATGGTTGCCATGAAGATGTCCATAATGCCAACACTGCCTGGAAGTGTTAATGCTGATGGTGGAAAACACACACCATGAAACAGAATCAGTAGCTACTGTTTTTTGGTAGCATATCTGGTTACTCCATTAGTTTCCTCCTAATTTGGAGGCAAACCCCCAAATCTCTTCAAAAGTCTTCTGGCCTCTGAGTGGACAAGCCAGAAGAACATGCATTTTATGCTAGAAGGCTTTGGCCACCAATAGCAGCAAATGGGCTGATGAAAGGAAATAGCTTCTCCCACCTGTGACCGTGACCTTAAAGGTTAGTTTCTGGCCGGCTGCCTCACAGGTGTATTCTCCAGCATCTTTCTTCTCCACCTGCTCCACGACCAGGCGCCGGGATTTGCCCTCGAACTCCACCTTGAATTTCTTGCTGGCGGTGACCAGTTTCCCATCCTTGTACCACTTCACTTCTGTCTTGGCCTGGGCCACCTCACAGCTCAGGGTGGCGCTCTCCTTGAGGGTGGCCTTCACCTCCTTCTGCACCTTCTCCTTGTTTGCAAACACATCTTCAACTTCTGAAATGGGGAGAATTCAAGTTAAAAACCCAGAAGGAATAAATGTATCGCAGCCAATGGATTGCTGCAAGCCTTTACCGTGATTGATCTCCATGATCATTCATATCAGAAAGCTTTGCTTTACTTATACGTTCCCAACTGCATTAACAGCATCATATAAATGCACCCTCTATAGCAGCCCTGATCATTTGGGCTCTCTTTTTAGGTAGGCAACCTGGCTTATTTTTGAGTTTCTACTACCCGTACTTCAAAACAACTTTTTTTGTTTTTTTCCAGGCTGAACATCTGGTAATGACACCTATTCCTCCTTTTGGGGAGTAGGTCACCCCTATCGCAACTAGAGAAAAACAGAATCGGAAAAAAAATAACTCTGGAAAGGACTTCAGGAGTCATCTAGGCTGACCACCTACTCGGGGTGGGATCATCCCTGTCTAAAACCATCCTGGACAACGATTTGTCTAACCTGCATTTAAAAATGTCCAATAACAGAGACTGTGCAACCTCTTTAGGTAATTTATTGCAGTGTTTAACCACCCAGAGTTAAAATATTCTTCCAAATGTTCATCCTAAATATCCCTTGTTGCAATTCTGCAATTCCAGCCCATTACTACTTGCCCTGTGGATGCAGAGAACAATTGATCACTCTCTTCTTTGTAACATCCCTCTGTATTTGAAGATTGGCAGCAAATCCCCCCTCCGTCTTCCCTTCTCCAGGCTATATCATCCTAAAACTTGCAACGTCGCCTTATAAAGCATATCCACAGTCCGCTAACATGCCAATTCAATCAATTCAAGAAATTCCTTCTGACCTTAAAATCTGGGACATTCAACATATGTAGCACCTCAATAGCACAGCAGGAGATTTTACCTTCCTGCACCTAAGACGTACATTGGAGGTATTTAAAGCCCACTGACAGCTAAAGTAACACTTTTGTATTTCGGTCTCAGCAAATGAACCAGCATTGAAAGATACCATATCCAACACATGATAAAAAGCATATATCCATGTAAAAGGTAATGATTAGCCGTCTTGCTAACTAATGACTAGCAAGTCTACCATATTTCCTGCTTGAGGGTGCCTGATATGGAAATATCAGGCACCCTTTCTTTATATAAATATAGATATTTCTTTAAATATCTTTATTCTTGCACATTGTATTAAATGTAGTGGAAAGTCCTTTTTGTTTTCCTTGATTTGCTACATTCATTAACATATATACGATTCCTCTTTTACACCACTGCAAAGCCGAAGTGATTGTGTCGAAGCCAAAAGATTTACACTCAAGTAAAATGGGATGTATTTGAGAGGAGCTTCAGGTAATAGGTATTATGGGGCTGAGGTTTAAACACTGGCCTCCATTCTTTTACAAATTATTTGCCCCTACAAGTCATCACAGGTGCCCCTTTGGGTCATTCAGAGCAAGTCAAAGCTGCAATGAAGAGGTGTGAAGATATACCCGAGATAAATTTAATCTAGTTCAATTAAGTAACAAGAGCTAGGAAGCAGCAGCAGCCTAGACTCAGCACACATGACAAGCCCATTTTGGAGCCGGGTACCTACTAAAGGGCTTAGAGCAATGACATTCAAGCCTCTGTGCCCCATATCGGTGGTAGCTATGTTAAAGCTAGCTCAGGTATGTCTACCCAAGCCGCTGACACACAGTATGGACATAGCCTTGGACTCTTAATATCATTTATAGGCACAGCTGGGATTAGTCGTCTCAAAAAATTAAAGAGGATGCAAACTCTTTGCATTCAAAACTGCAATAGCCCCAAAAAAAAGGCAATCCAGTTTAGGATAACCCAAATTATGAATTTGTTCTGCAGAAACATGGTCTTATGAATCAAATGAATTGTGAACTAGCTCACATAAGTGGGTCTGAGTGGTACAAACAACAGAGCAGACCGTACAGATTACAGACTAATCATTTTGTTCTGTTTTTTTTCCCCACCTTTTAACATTAATCCTGGTTTATATTATGAGGAAATGGAAGAACTATTTTGATTGGCTGAATTATGCTGACTGGCACTTTGCTACTCTGCTAGGATCAAATTTATCCCACAAGTGACTTCATTCCCTGCAGCAGATTTACAGTACAAGTGAATATGACCCTGAGAAGATAAATATAGACAGAAATATTTCTAAGTTTATTTAGAGCAGTGGCGTTTCACCTATTCAACCTCCAGACTGGATGGGTGGTGTGGGGTTGGTCTGCACACCGGATCCGGTCTATGGGTCTCAGCTTAGAGTTGGTACACGGGTGCACTGCTGTGTGCTGGATGCAGTGGCAGAGCAGGCACATTTGCCAGCCTGGTCCCATCTCCTGTGCAATGACATGTGCATGGAGCCATCTCATCCAGCCCATGGAGCTCCCCGAGGGTCTGGAAGTGCAGTGATGGCTGTGTTAGTGGCCACAGCTCTGGGATCTGCTGTGGCAATTAATCCTGCCTTTGCTCCCCTGCTGCAGGGGAGCCCTGCAGGCTGGATGGTATAGGGTGGTATACAGGTGGGATGTGGCATGGTAAGCCAGATCCAACCACCGGGTAAGCATTCTCCTGAGGGGTGGGGAATGGCTATGGCAATATCATGTGTAGCTAGGAAGTCATTTATTTTGGTAAAGTACTGGAAATATCTGGTCCCTTATGCCAGCCGGCCCTTGTCTGCTCTTTTTTGGCAATAGTCTCAGAACTATTCTGCGGCTTTGCATCAGCAGTTGAAGATAACCTCATTGCACTTTCCTTGTCAATGGAGGGCAGAGCTTTCCCATGTAAGGACAGCATTTCTGTTGGAGAAGACGAAAGCACACAGAATACCTTCATGGGCATGGGAGGAACGACGACGGCAAGCATTACAAAGGAACAGCACACAAGGTGCACCCTGTAACAGCCTCTGATCCCTAGTAGAAGAGGATTCAGGAGGCCAGTGGCCTGCTAGTGTCACAGCTCCTTTGGGAACACCATGGCAAGGTGCTCCCTACCCACCTGGCTGCAGCGGGGCACAACTCTGCACTGCCACCCCCACTGCTGCCAAGTGGGCAGGAGATTCCTTGCCATGGTGGCACAGGGCTCCCAGTGGCAGCATCCACCCCTGGTCCATGCACAAATCTTGGGGGCACGTGCCTGCCGTGCCCCCGCCACAGAAGAGCACAGTGGTGGGGAGCCATCTCCCCATCACTGCCCCGCGGACGAGCCACTCGTGGCTCCATCCCACTCCCCAGCCGGGCCCTGCAACCACACATTCCCACTCCAGGCCTGGACCCCAAGCCACAGGCCCCGCATACCACCGCAGCTGAGCAGCATCCCCAACCCCGGTCCAGCCCAACTCCCTCCCTCGCTATGGGGGTCTCAATCTCCCCCCGATTTACCTGTGGGAAGCTGCAGGAGCTACCTGGCTCTGCGTGTGCACATGCACGTGGCACCCCCGATCGCCCTCCTCCCACTCCCACCAGCCCCTTGCAAGCTGATACTCTGCCAGCCTGCAAAGGAAAACCTGCTGCTTATGTGTTTTGCTCCTTAGAAGGAGAAAATCTGCATTTTCTTCCTTAAAAAGATAAAACTGGCTTTATTTTTCTCGTTAAAATGAGAAATATCTACATTTTTCTGCATTTTCCCATAGCAAACGGAAAACCCGGATCCCTAATAACAACTAAGGTTATGAATATACTGACGGCTAGGGATGACCTTAAAATTGTACTCAAGCCCATGACTGTTGGCCATCTCACTGAAAACCCCTAAGTTTGATCCCTAGTAACAATCCAGCTCAGCCCAGCGCTCTACTCAAGGAATGGAAAGCACAAAGTAGATGGCTTTGACACCGGCTACATAGTAAGGTACAGATATGGGAATGGTTTATGTGGTAGTTTATGTGGCTCAGGCTGGTTGAGAGTGGTGACAACAGGGTTGATTCTAGCTATCGGGGTAGATATGCCCCAACTTGAGAACAAGACACTATTGAAAGAGGAAACGAAATCTGCTGGCATCACTACTTGTTATGCCAAGAGCAGACCTGGTGCAGTGCAGCCACCTCCTTCAGACCCTCCCTGCACCACCGATCTATCTAGGGAACACTAAATACCAGTCTTCCTGAATTCAAGAAATATTGGGAAAGCCAGATGAAAGGGTAGTCATTACAACTCAATGTTCAATATAGTCCTAGCTGGATCTGTATTCATTTTGCAAAGACATGTGATGACTTCTCGAGTTGAAGAGAAGCACTGCACCTGCTCTAGCGTCAGAGCCTGAACCAAAGGGCGACTGAAGGTGCCTCCACGCTGCCAGCAGGTCTCCAATATCCTCTGCTGCCCCAACCGCTGTACAGCTCAGAGCAGCCTGAGAAGCAGATGAACTATTCCCTTCTGTCATTTCATTTGAAAGCATGAGCAAAAAACATGAAGAGAAAGCACAGAAATGTAAAACACTGTCCTGCCCACCTGTGACAGTGACCTTGAAGGTCAGCTTCTGGCCGGCCGCCTCACAGGTGTATTCTCCAGCATCTTTCTTCTCCACCTGCTCCACGACCAGGCGCCGGGATTTGCCCTCGGACTCCACCTTGAATTTCTTGCTGGCGGTGACCAGTTTCCCATCCTTGCACCACTTCACTTCGGTCTTGGCCTGGGCCACCTCGCAGCTCAGGGTGGCACTCTCCTTGAGGGTGGCCTTCACCTCCTTCTGCACCTTCTCCTTGTTTGCAAACACCTCTTCTGTCTCTGTCAAATGGCAATGAAACATCATATATAAAACTCACATAGCCCTTTGAGCAATTTCTTATTGCACGGAGCTTGTGTGACACCTGCCCCTGCCTCCCCCATATTAGCTAAACCCCCAACAAACACCAACGGTGGTATCTTCATCACCCCCTTCTGAGATAGGTAAGCATCCTTATTCATATATTATAGATAGTGAAGGGAGACACAAACAGGTGACTTTCCCAAAGTCCTATGGGAACTGCATGATTTGGAGCAAAGACTACAACCTGGGTCCTCCACGTCTCGGGTATGAGCCCAAACCATTGGTCTATGAACTTTTCTCCCCGCTTAGATCTGGTGTCTCTCTCTGTCTCAGCCCTGCACCCCAACGCTGAAAGTTTCTGGGTGGAATTCTCCTTCCAAATACTAGATTGGCACAAAAATGTTGGGTTTTGCTAAATTGTTGTTTCTTTACTGTAACAGAGAGTCAGAAGTCCTGTTACTTTAACAGAGGAGCTGCCTAAGGTATGGCCCTAAGCGGGTGAAGACAGCTGAAGCTGGGCTAGCTGCAGGGACGTAGGCAGCCAGAGACCAGAGACTGCAAGTGCCTAGATGGCTAGCAATAGGGCAATACGGCAGAGCCCTGGGTAGGCAGCAAGGGAACTACTATAGCTGGACCAGGGACACAGCAGTAAGCTACTGGGAGGGACACACCTGCAGCAGGTCAGGGGAAAACCTCACCAGAAGGGGAAGAGCCCAGGGGATATCAGCCTGGGGCAATGGGGTCAATGCAGCCCTATAAGCAAAAATGCTCCTGCCATCTCAGGCTAGCAAGGAGTGGGAGCCGCAGGCTAGGTCAGGTCCTTCCAGGGCTGAGAGCCAGCGAGTGTGGAGGAGGCTTTTGCAATAGCACAGTGACCCAGTTGGGGCTGGAAGTCTTCTAGCTGGAAGTGGTTGCTGGCAGTGACGCAGGCAGGCTGTGGCTGGCCAGAGTTTATCAAACTATATTGTCTATATTGCTGTCTTGGCACACTGAGTACCACTGAGAGATATGGCCCCACCGTCCTACTCCACACGTCACTATGAAAATGAGACAGGAAGCCTCCCTGGAAGCACTCTCCCCTGTTGTTCACAACCTCTCTGCCTCTAATGTGCTGGACAATGACAGAAAGGGATGTGAGCAGAGAGGTTTATCACCTCGTCTCTGGGTTTGGTCGGTGCAGACCGTGTCCCGGTCAGCAAGGTGTACTTCTGAGTGGCGCTCTCAAGGGAGCTGCAGCAGCAATGCAGACAACCCAGAGCATCAGGCTGTAGTTTGCCAGTGGAGGGTTTCAGGCAAAGGACAGTATTCAGACTGTGTCCCTGAATACACGCAAATGGGACGGGTCCCTAATACTTCTTTGCATTCATAGCTTCAGACTTCTTTGCATACATAACTTCAGACAACACACCAGGTGTTGCTCCATACCAGATCTGCAGGACCTGGTTTGAGCTCCTTTCAGTCCACCAAACCCAGTTCACCTCCACACACTCTCTCCTATTTCCAGATCCCAACCTTATCTAGCTTCAGACTCCTCTTTGAACCAGAGACAACACCTTCACCAATGATGCGAGAGCTGTCTGCCTTTCTGTGTCAGTCTACCTCCTTGATTCCCCATCTCTTTCCCGAGCTTCACTGCCCGAGGGTTTCTTCCCTTTAATCTGCACTTCTTCATTTCGTTCTCTACCTCTGCTACCATTTTATATTTAATCCTGCGGGCTTCACGTTGCATGCTGCAGTGGCCTCTACTTCCACAGACTGAATCGTGCCACCAGGTCATTGTGGGCTTGTGTCCACCGTTTATTTTACTGTAGATGCAATGAATTGTGAGCACTACAGCTGTGCAGGCAAAAACCAGAGGCTGATCTGAAGCTGGCTGAATAACCAGGAAGAGCACAGACCCTCTGCAGACACTTCCTCAGCCTAACCAAGGGGGCTTGTGCCTGAAAGCTTGCTAAGAACAATTGTGCCAACTCCAAATTGTGCCAATTTGAGCTGGTCTAATAAAAGATATTGGATTTACCCAAAGAACCTTGTCTGCTTAACACTGTAGAGGGATTCAGCATATACTTCACATGCAATATAGTACCCAGGATGGAGATTTTTAATTGCCCTAGATATCCGTGCCTTCATTTACCTTGGACTTGGACTTGGAATGTCACTTTGTCATCCTTGGTTTCGCAGGTGTAGCTTCCTTGGTCGTGCTGAGTCACGTTCTTGACGACGAGCTTGCGCTGTGTTCCCCGAGCGGTGATGGCCGTTCTCTGGTCCGGCTTCATCTCAGCGTGATCCTTCCTCCACTCCACAGCTCCGCTTGCCACTGACACTTCACACGCCAGCTCCAGGTTCTCAGAAGGACGGATGGAAATTTCGGGGATTTCTGTAGGCTTCCTGACAAACTTAACAGCTTCATCTAAAGAAGAAGGAGAAGCAGTGCATGCCCCTTATTACCCAGAATGATGCAAGTCGGATCCAGCAGTATTCTTCCGTTGTTGCTGATACATAGGGGCCAGGAACCACCCTTGGAAGAAATCATAAGTGTAACATGCTTGTGCCTCAGTCTCCTATGGTGTCAGGTCTAGAGAGGATAACAGCCAACTAGGGCTACCACTGAGTGGGATTTCTCTGTAAGCTCAAGTGATAAATGTCCGTATCGATGTGCTACAGGTCCCAAGTACAAAAACATCCAACCACAGAGATCAACTAGACTACAACGGATGTGTGCTTGCAGGTATCCATATACAGAGCCTGGCACATGCACTAACCGAAAAAGACTCCGACGTACAGAGGTTTTCCCACATTTTCCTAGCTATGCCCCTAGTCTCCAACATTTATGCATCTGGGTAGCGTTACTCCCATGCAAAGCCCCACTGAACCTACTGGGACTATTGGCCTGAGTAAACAACCCACATGTGTAGGCATTTGCAGAATCGAGGCCTTCTCCTTTAATAAAAATAATATTTGCTTTTTTGGACTAAGAAATATGGTTATGGTTTCTGCAATGATTCTGATACGTCGGGTGGTAAAAGAATACAGAAAATACAGAAAAATGCACTGAGCTTCTTATGCGGTATTGAGTTTGCATTTAAAGACAAACTTATTCCCCACTATGTAACTCCATAAATGCGTCTCGCTAGGTTTGCAGCCTACACCTAGACCTAGCTGGAACGCTGTCGGCAAAACCTGGAACCACACGGCACGTGACGGGTCTCAAGCTGTTACAGACGTCATAGTTTCATAGTTGGTCGGGTCAGAAGGGACCTGAGCAGATCATCAAGTCCGACCCCCTGCCATGGCAGGAAAGAGTACTGGGGTCAAACGACCCCAGCAAGGTGTTCATCCAGCCTCCTCTTAACCCTCCGCACAAATTTCTTGCAAGTTTTCTTATGTTTCACAAAGGTTTTCATTGGAATTGGGCCCAGTTCCATGTGTGCTGAAAGGGGAGTTGCACTGCAAGTGAATCTGGATGCATTTATGCAGTAGCGGCCTTAAGGGAGGGCAAGCTGGGCAACCACTGTATAAAAATAAAAATGAATTACGCTGAATATTTGTATCATCAATATTGTATTAAGATATTTTCTTTGCAGTTTCATGGGTAGGGCAAAGTGAATTTGAAATAAAAAATGTCTGACTTGCTTATAGGCCATCAAAATTAAGCCTCGAAGGGGTCCCAAATGACTCGCTTGCCCCAACAACCCTAAGGCTACCACTGTTCCCTGGGAAACCCCAGTTTCAATGAAGTTGGCCTCGGGTTTTGGGGTCTGTTTAAGGCTAAAACCAAAAGTGAGAATCAGGAAGGCCAAATGCAAGCAGGGTCAAATCAGACAGATGATTATTATGGATTCCCCTGCAAAAGTACAGCATAAAGCTTCACACGCTTCCTGGCCAATAGAGAAACATAGTACAATAAAAAATAAAATTCTCCGTTTAAACACTCCCTTGTGGCACTGTTGTGTTTTAAATTAATAGCAAACATAATCAAGAGCTGAAACACAGCTGCTTCGGGATGTGGTAAGATGGAGATTCCTTGAAGCTTTATATCAAAGCTGGATATTTCTGAAAGAGATCTAGTCACTGGACTCAGTGTAGGAATCACCCGATTCAATTCAGTAGCCTGATCATCATGGGATGCCTTCTCACCATAGCAACTACAATCTAGGAAGTCAAAAGAGTTGTATTTTTATTAATCAAGCGTGAGAAGAGAATCAGTCCTACTATATTTGCCATATATTTCGATCAATTCCTATCCCGTTTACTTCCTGAAATTGGTCCTCAGATAGGATAGCACTCCCGTTGACTTCAGCTGGAGTCGTGCATCTCCAAGCGAGAGCAGAATTTCACTTAATCTGGAAACAGCATCAGTACAGACAGCCTGGTCAATGTGGTTGCCTCCAACGGGGCTATATATAGGCGTAGCTGAAAGCAGAATTTGGTTCAAGGTAATTAGATCGTAAAGCCACTTAGGTGAAGGTGTCTCACCATGTTTCAATTGCATGGATCATATCTCCCAACATCAATGAGCCTCTCCTGAGTTACCAGTGAAGGTTAAAGTGGCACTGAGCTGAGTGCATAGACACCTCTCCGATAAGCTGGGAACAACCATATAGGATACAGCCTCCCATCTCATGCTCAACTCATACCTTGGACTCAATCGCTGCCGAGCAAGCTGACGGCTGTCAGTTATAAGCAACCTAAGCTGAGTGTTGCATTTTGGTCTGCAGCACCTGTTGTTTTCTATCCCCACGTATCCCAAGGACAACAAATATACTGCACCCAGCCACATGCTTCTGCTGCATCAGGGGACAAGCGTTTCTGTTAAAAACTAAAAGCTATTAGGAACGGTCTATTTTTTAAAGAATTAGTCGATTATGGATTAACAGCCTTGCTGGAGTCCTCCCATAAACAGGTATATGAAAAATCCTCATGCCCACACTGGCAATTTATTTTCTAGTCCTAATCCGGCTATAGTTTATCTGCAAATGTGGTTAGTGGTCAGGAAATATTTTTGGTGAAATCTAAAACCAAGCGAGACTCATCTGATTTGGGGTTTTGTTAGCAGCCTGAAGCACTGAGATGCACAAGCTTAAGGTCAACAGGAGTTTTCTTGCCTGAGTTTCTTACCTTTGGCTTCTCATAGAAAAAATGTGAAATTCAGCAGTTTTGCCCCTCAACTAAATGAAACTCTGTGGTTTCCATTGAACTTTGGTTTGGGTTGCTGGAGTCAGGGGAAGATGAAACTCAGATCAAAATTCACTGAACCCAATGCAGAAGAGAAGTTCCCAGTAACTCATAGGAACTGAAATAGCCCCATTTCACAGAACAGTACTGACTATGTCTCCTACGCAGATTCAAAGTACCAGGTACTCTGAGCTACACGCTGTAAGCTACAGGAATTTCTCTCCATGATTTGGTCCCAGGTGAATGTATTGGGCTTTCAGCATAGTTCAAGGTACCTACATCCCACAGAAATCAGGACACCCAGAATTGCATGTAATGTCAACCTCAGGGTTCACACTTGAATGAAAAGGGAGGCAGATTTCTTGGAAACTACCCCCAAAGAAAACCCCAAATGGGGCTATGTCTTTTTTAAAGCCGCTCCCATCTGGCTCTGCCAAAACCCTTCCTGTTCCTACCTGCGCCCCCATGTTTCTATCACATTTAGTCTGGTTCTTACCCACAGCATTATGTTCCCACATAAAGGAGAGAGCTTTTCAATCAAGAAATGAGATTTTCTCCGACAGGCTGAGTTTTCTTCCCTGCATTTCCCACTCCCGTGAGCATGTCAGGGGTCCTGGCGGTCCCTGCAGCCCCTGCTCTTATGGCAGGGCTTTAGCACAAGACTCTCGTTGTCTTTCTGCAGGTGTGAATGTCCCTGAGGCCATCAGCACAGACAAGACTGAACTACAAGATTCAGGCCTAGACCAGACCTAAACCTACCCAAAGTGCTGGGGGCAATTCTAGTCATTTCAATAATGACCTGGATGTGGTGACAGTCACTACCTTTGTTGCTTACTTGGAGCGTGGAGACCATAATAAGGGGTTATTGTGACAGGTGTGATACACGAACAAGGCAAGCAACCTATGCCCCAAAGCTAATAACCTAGGGACACAACATTCGAGTCTGATGATCCACTGCCTACATATCCAACACAAACCCTGCCCCAGTTAGCTCATGAACTTACCCGAGACTTTTAAATCGAAGACTAGCGTGTCTTCTCCAACTTTGCACGTGTATGTTCCCTCATCTTCTTTCGTTACAGCAGAGACCAGGAGCTTGTGCGACTTCCCTTTGTCTTCCATGGTGAACTTCTTGGTGTGGCGGATGGCTTTGCCATCTTTGTACCACTCGACCATGATGTTCGCTTCGGAGGTCTCTGAAATAAGCTCAGCCTGCTTTCCAGGTACGGCTTTGATAATGCCGCCGGCTTTCTCTTTGTTTATAAAGTGCGCAAGAGCTGGAACAGCAACAGAGTGAGTCAGGAAGCATGTGTGACTATATATATATATATATATATATAACACAAAGAAGTATGACAGCTCTACCCACGCCACCAGCTACATGCATTGCTACTGAGACTATTAAGATCTAGGAGGTTTTTCCAAGATCCCACTTTTGCTAAACTATAGCACAAGCTGTTTCTATTTTCAGGCCTATTTTAAGACACTTTGATCTCCTGGCCTGGGAGCTGCGTCCAGCTGAGAAGGCTTCATAGTTTCATAGTTGATCGGGTCGGAAGGGACCTGAGCAGATCATCAAGTCCGACCCCCTACCCTGGGCAGGAAAGGATGCTGGGGTCAAATGACCCCGGCTAGGTGATTGTCTAGCCTCCTTTTGAAGACCCCCAGGGTAGGAGCCAGCACCACTTCCCTTGGAAGTTGGTTTCAGATCCTAGCTGCCCTGACAGTGAAGTAGCGCCTCCTGATATCTAGTCTGAATCTACTCTCGGTCAACTTATGGCCATTGTTCCTTGTTCCTCCCAGTAGTGCTCGCCTGTTCTTGTGTATCGTGAACAGGTGCAGGTCCCATAGCCTCTCCTCGTAGGGCCTGCCCTGCTGCCCCCGATCATGCGGGTGACCTCCTCTGGACCCTCTCCATGCTGTCCACATCCCTCCTGAAGTGCAGCGCCCAGACCTGGACGCAGTACTCCACTGCGGTCTGACCAAAGTCGCATAGAGGGGGAGGATCGCCTCCTTGGACCTGCTTGAGATGCATCTGTGGATGCATGACAAGGTGCAGCTGGCCTTCCTGACCGCGTCCCCACACTGTCGGCCCATGTTCATTTTAGAATCAATAATGACTCCAAGATCCTTCTCTGCCTCTGCACTGATGAGAAGGGAGCTCCCAGCCTGTAGGCATGCTGCTGGTTCTTCCTCCCCAGGTGCAGCACCTTGTACTTGTCCATATTGAAACCCATCCTATTCTCACCTGCCCACCCCTGTAACCTGTCCAGATCTAGTTGTAGCCTGTCCCTCCCCTCTAGCATGCCCACTTCTCCCCACATCTTAGTGTCATCCGCAAATTTGAACAAGGTGCTTTTCACCCCCTCGTCCAAGTCGTTGATGAAGATGTTGAACAGTGTGTGTCCAAAGACCGACCCCACTGCCCACATCCCTCCAGGTCAAATAAGACCCGTCCACCACCACTCTCTGAGCACGGCCCTCCAGCCAATTGGCGACCCATCTGACGGTGTAGGCATCAACGCCACTTGCAACTTGCAACTCCAAATCATCTGAGAGCTGGAGGTTTTGGAGAGGGCTCCCAGAGCCAGGTGACCTCAGCACAGTACCAGGGGTGCCATGATGCCTGCTTCTGGAGTGCTACCTCCCTGGATGTGAATTGTGTAGGCATCTTAGTGTAAGTTGTATAGGCATCGTAGTGTACCACTAGACCTAAGCCAATAAACACTCTCCCTGGCACCACACAAAGGCAATGCAGGTTTGCCCACAATTACAAGTGATGGAGGTTCTCATTCAGCTCAAGTAGAGCCGCAAATTCAGTGTCAAAACCTGATTTATACACCATGAAATACGGCAGATGAAAGTATTTGGGAATGACTGCTGGCTAATTCAATCAAAGCTATGGGAAAATCTGACTGAATGAATAATTGCACCGAGAGAGGAGCAGAGAAAGAAAAAGCAAACAGATTTTTGAGAGAATCCCTCCCAACTGTGTTGCTGCCTCATTTGTGTTTGCTCTGTATGAACAGTCTGGTAAAGGAGCATTCGCATTGAAATAACATAGTACTCCCTTGCACGCAGCTATGACAAGGATGTCAGGGGATCTAGTATTTCATGGGCAGACAGTGGTGGGAGGATGGGCCATCACACCCTAAGAGATGAAGGCTGGAAGAAGATGAGATGAGGGAGTATCACGGTTATACGGAGCTGGGAGAACCTGGTCATGGGTAAGGAAAAATGCTGCACGGGACCTATTTGAGGTTACTGTCGCACGTCTCACTGCTCTGCCTAGTCTCAAAGCCAAAGGTCAATTCTGCTTACGAAAGCCCGAGGGTTTTCTTTATCAGTGGAAATCTGAGAGCAGATTTTGGACCTCAGTATGGAAGGGTGTAAGAATGAGGACCGTGCTAAGCAATAATAGCTATACACATCCCCGCAGCTACCAAAGATTCACGGTTCTTCCCCCTCTTAACCCTCAGACCTCCTGCCAGCAAAACACAGCAATATGACCCTGTCCTGCTATACCCAGCTCCTCACGTAATCATTCTCAGAGTGATGGAGAATGGCTGAGTCTAAAGCAAATGTATTTAGAGGCCAGTTTTACAGTCCTTTCTTGGGCAAAACTTTGTTAAAGTCAATGGGAATTTTGTCCGCAGGGTTGGGTCCTACTGACAAATGCCTTAATTCTGCAGAATGATAAATTTAACCAAATATTAAATCTAACCCCAATTTTGTTGGGCCATAGTAGCTCAGTATCAGGCTTCCTAGTGCCCACCCTACTAAACAACAAGACAGAAACCCAGCCAGCACGATCCGGGTATAACTTAGTTTTCACCGTCCAGATCTAGCTCATCTGAGAGTCACTGGAAACAGGCTTACTGACCATAGCTGCACTTCTCACCTGTTTTTGATTCATGGTGCCCCTTGGAAAATGACAGCTCTTAGTTCTCATTCCTTTTTTGACTACAGAAGAAGAACAGAGCAACTCTGCCATGGCATCCTGGTTGAAAAATCACTGAACTACATAGCTTGTACAATTTTGTTTCCATGCACAAGTGCTCTGGTTCTAAGAGAGTGATGGAGATATGCTCTTTCATGGTTGCATAGCATATTAAAATATTTCTACTAGAGGAGACACCCAATATGAAGCAGCATCTGGTAAGAGCAACCGCTGCTTACCAGCAACATCCCCCCTACCATGTGTCCAGACAATACTTTTGACAACAGCAGCAGCCAGTTAGGAATAACATAGCATCACAACACCACCAGCTTGCTACTAACAAGCCTTTTGCAAATAAAAAACAGAACTTCATTTGCATTATACACTTGCGCGTGTTACCAGATCACTTCTATTACATCCCGCAGCTCGGTAAAATCCAGCTGAAATATGCTCATTCTGAACAGAAAGAAATAAAGATTTTACAGCTGGACAATTTTCGTGGGTCACTTTGCAGAAGCCCTTACACAGGACACGCAGCTGGGTAACAACCATGTAATATAAAATTACCTTAAAAAAAAATCATCACCAACTTTTAACAAAAAATGCTTTTTGCAGTTAACTTCTTGGCAAACCTGACTAATCCAGCAGTGTACCAAGCCCTAAATGCATGGGAAAGGTTTGTAAGCACGAGGGTAGTTCCATGAATGTGATGCAAAGGGTTTAAGGCTGGCTGTTCAAACACAGTCAACCTCCCTGTTGCACGAGAGGGAAGTACGTGCAAAGAGGGAATGAAGCACGGGATTACTGTGAGCAAGTACAAGCTGTGACACCAGTGGGAGACCAGCTGAACTGGCTTATCTGTGCAATGCCTGAGAAATACAAGTAGCAAGGATCAGAGGGTTTAAAAAGGACCTCAAGGGTCATCAGAAAGATAACAGCCCTTTGCCCTTGTATGGTGCCTCCCATCTAAGCTTCACAAACAAGCCTTGAAAGTACCCTTGTGAGAGGGTGAACTATTCTTAACCTCCAGGTACTTTTTGGAGGAAAATGAGTCTAGGATAGCCAGTCTCCACTGACTTGAACCAGAGCAGGATCTGTCCCTCTGTGAGTCTGTGACAGACTCTGTAACCTTTTATCTCCTGAGTGCCAGACTGGTTTCTTAACTCCAAAACCATCTCCCTTCCTTCATAGCACAGACTGTCAACTTCCCCATGCTCCTGCAGCCCGCGTGTCTTCCTTGGCACCGGGCAGAGCCCGGCGCTTTCTGCATCTGCTCCGAGCTCCCCAATTCTCCGTTCATGCCCAGCAGCACCCCTGGGGCAGCCACTTCCACTCCCTCTGGCGATGCTGAGTGTCCTGAACACCAGCGGGCTCCTTCTCTGTCACCCAAGGCATTGCCGTGAGTTGATACCTAGCCTCATTAGATACCAGCGGGAAGGTGAGCACAGTGCTCTTCCTGAGCTAGTCAACCATGCTGCAAAGCAGGGGTTATTAGCCCAGGAGGCATGCCAGGCTAACCCAGCTATCCCGGTTCTGGTACCCAAGCTAGCTGAGATATCTCTGCAAGGCACTGTTTTGTGCTATACAGATACACCCTTAAAAACCATACTGGCCCTTGACCAAAAGCAGCCCCGCAGGGTCCCATACCTTTCACAGACAGCTGATAGACTATTCGATCTCCTTCGCAGATGCACTCGTACAGCCCCGCATCCTCCGCTGCAACGTCGCGAATCTTCAGGACGCGTTTCTTCTCTGCCGTCTGCAGGTCATACTTCTGCCCGGCCTTGAGCTCCTTCCCATCCTTGAGCCACGTCACGGCGGCTGCCGCGTCCGAGAGCTCTGCCCGCAGCTGGGCCTCCTCGTGCAGCCGAGCAGAGACTTTCTCTACATCTCCGCTCTTGTTAGTGATTCTTACTGCAGCGCCTGGGAGGGAGGGAAGGAGAGAACGTGAAATCCTCCTGCTCCACATGAAGTCTGTATTATGTGGCAAGCTCTCCCTTGGCCCAGATCCCGAAGCATGTAATACAGAGTAGCTCTATTCACTCCAAGGGACCTCGTCCAGCTTTGCAATATGGTCACCGAGATGAGAATCCAGCCCCCTTGGATGCGTAAGTCTTGCAGAGAGCAATGCACAACGCTTTCTCCATAATACTCAGCATGAAGTCACAAACAACGCTGGAGCTTTTAAACCATTTTCCTCGTTGTTTCAAGGAAAATCCTCCAACGACAGCATGACCAAGTCCCAGCCTCCAGGTCTGGCCATTCAACCCATCATTGAGGGAGCCCATAGTCTGCTCGGTCCTGCTAACCCCTCCAACAAATCCAGAAGAGTTCAGTTCAACTGGGCTTCAGCCTTGCTGTATAATTTTATTTTCTTCCTGTAGAGCTACTTTCTCCCTGCTTGGCCTCTCTACCTATCTGTATCCATCCTCTCCTTCGCAATGCAAGCCCTGGACAGGAGACCTCCTCACTTGCCACCTGCCACTGCTTTCTCAGCATCCACCAGCGCCATACATTTCACAACACAGCTAAAAAGGCTGGATGCACAACCTGCCTTGATTTACCACAAGGTCAGGAACTGGATCTTCAAACCCTGGACCCACGGTGCCAAGGCCCCCTTCTCCAAGGGTAGGGCTACAAATGGGTGTAGAGAGTTTAATTTAACAAGACATTTCTAACTCTGCCCTTAGTCGTGAAAACCCCATACTCTCTCTACATGCCAGCATCCCACCAAATAGCCAAATCTCTCTTCGTATTAGCATTTTTTTTTTTAAACGTGATTGCATTTGAGTCATTTGTTAGTCTATTTGTGCAAACCACATGGAAGGCAAATGTCTACAAGTTGACATTCCCCTTAGAAAAGACCAGGCCGAAGCAATACAAACTCAGATGCACCAATTAGAGCCCTAGATACGGGCTTAAGCAGGGGTGCAGCCATACACAGGCCTTCTTCATCACGGTGGTTTTTACCACCGCTGATGGCATTGTGTGGTCACCCAAACAGCTGGGCTCTCCCATTAATGGTAGTTTAAATATTCCTCAACAGAGATTTTCCTCTAAGGATCCCCCAATCTTTTCTGCATTGAGCTTTCAGGTAAATATGGTCATAATCTTCACTGCAGAGAGGGCAGTTTAGGCACAGCTCCATTCTGCTGCCCTTACTAACAAGGACCACGTCCCTACTGCTCAACAAATGCCAGCATCACGGTCCATGAGGCTGCCTTAGAAAGAAGGTGAGAAGCCAGGTTTGTTTGGGTGATGCCTACTAAACCAGGAGTGTCAAACTCAACTTGTGCCCTGGGTCGGATTCGGACTTCAGGGTTCGTCATGGGCGAGATCTGGCCTGGAGCCTGGGGCAGCAGCAGCCGTGGTGAGAGGGGCAAGAAAGCACTTAATGTGGAGGAGGCAGCACAAATGGAGGCAGGCTGGGCAGCAGCAGGGCAAGCAAGAGCTGGCCAAGCTGGCAAGGGCCATATCGACCAGGGCCACAGAGCCCTGGATTCTGCAGCAGGCAAAAGACATGCCCCCAACCTCTGTGACCCATCACTCGCAACCGATGGAGTAACTGCACGGGGCAGATCCACTGTGCAAATGCCACTAAAATGCCACTAAAATGCTTCCGGTTCACAAGGCAGGCTCTGCTGAGGAGCACGGCCGTGTCTGACAGCGCTGCAGCGAGGCAGGCAGGTTTGCAGCATAAATGTAGCTACAGTCCAGCGTGCCAGTGGCAAGACTTGTAATAATGCCTACAGTTCCAGCTCCCCAAGCTCCCTGTCCTAACAGCTGCACCTGCTTGTCTGGCTGAAGGAAGGAAAATCAATGCACATACCTCTTATTCTCATCTTGGTACTGCTTTCAACATTGTTGGCGACAAACTTCACCTCCGCCCCATCGTCCTTCTTGGTCACGTTCTTTATGATGAGGATGTGGGTGGTCTTGGTTCTCTTAATGATATAGATGTCACTGCTCTCTAAGGCTTTGCTGTTAAGGTACCATGTGCCAGAACAAATGGTTGTGAGGTCAATAGAAAAGGTAGCATTCCCTCCTGCTATGGCTTCGACAGCTGTCAGTGGAGTTCGCACGGCCGGGACCGGTTCTGTTGGAGAAGAGGGAGAGGTAAACCGGAAGGCATGAGGCTGTCGTGCTGGGAAGTGTTGTCTTGTATACCCCAAATTCTTAAAGAGGAGAAAAGAGAAACCAAAGACAAGAAGCCAATATGGGGAAGACTTTGAGAAGGCCACATCCACTGAAGGCAACGGACGTGTGCCTGGGGACGCGCCGCAGGCAACTGATTATAACATCGGAAATAGTAGGGCCAGAAGGGAACTCTAAACCCTTCCAAATCCCAGTAAACACCCTCAAAAATAGAAATAATTCTGGGAACGGGCCAGACCCCAGCTCGTGCTACCTCCCGTGCCCCAGAAAGGCTTGATTCCTGAAGAAGACAAGTTTTCAACCAGGCCTACCCAACAATGTGACTGCATTGCTAGTCAACAGGGTGGTCTGCAGCCCTTGGTTTGGGGCTCACCCAGGTGCTGGGATCCCAGGAACTCCAGGTAAGGGCTCTGCCCGTAGCTGTTGACAGCAGAAACGCGGAACTGGTAGTCTCCCTCTTCCGACAGGTCGCTCACTGTGAATTCGGGGACGGGGACGGGAGACTCGTGACACCGCATCCAGGTGAAGCCCATCAGTTTCTTGCGTTCTACGACATAGCCGTCAATGGGGATGGGGCGGTCTGTCTTGGGTGGGGACCAAGCTAGCGTCACTGAGGTTTCTGTTTTATTTTTCACCACAGGGTTAGTTGGAGGATGGGAGGGAGGCTTCCTGGGAGCTGTATGGGGATAAAGACAAAGAACGAACCTCACTGTAAAGTGAAAAAGCCACCGCACGGACGAGCATGCTGAAAGCGGCTTGTATGGCTACTGGGATTAGCGTTCACGCCTCCCTCGATCACACCGACACATCCGGCTCAAAAGTTATATCAGTTGTGATTTGAGATGGGGAGAGGATCTGAAGACAGATCCTTCCCCGTGAAGTATTGCATCCCTGCCCAAACGCACACAAGCTCATAGTTTCCCTAGATCACAGCTGTCCAGGTGCCGTTGCCTCTCCTGTTGCCATGCAGTGCAGAGGGAGAGCTTGTCCCAGGAGGCCATCCCCACAGCGTGTGGCCTGGATATCCTCCCACCGGGTGCAGCCACACCAAAGTTGGGCAGCCCTGGCCCAGGCAAACACACAGACCATAACCCCTACACAACATTACTGACCACCTGTGCACACACACATATGCATGCATACACGGTGCCACTAAGTCACACCCCAGAGGTATTGATTTCTGTGCACCAACATGAGTGCGGAGACACACACAGTACCTTTAACACTTATGTGTAGACCCACCAGATTATTGCCCTGCACTCATACAGTGCTATTGACCTCCTGACCACACACACACACACACACACACACACACCCTATTCAGGGTCCAGTTTTGACCAGAAAATACCACGACCTGCTTCCCAGACCAGATGCACACTTTAGCACAGAATTACCACACAGTATTACTGATGCCCTCCTCCTGCACCTCCAAAGAAACCCTACTTTCTCATAAGCACAAATCATCATGGACTCCCCTTACACACGTGTGAGGCTCACACACACACACGCTCACACCTTTCTTCACATACCTGCATGAACTATCCACAGACATTATTTCACACATGCGTGCAAAATGCTACACTCACACATCTTATACATACGCCATATTTAATAGACCGAGAGAGAGCAACTTTCACTTTGTTTTTCTATTATTTCGTTAAAGATGAGTTTAAAAAAAAACCCAACAGAACTCCAACCGTCTGGGGAAAAAGAAATATCTGCGTGTTAAATGTTACCCTGGTGAGATGCAGCTTGATTGGGATTCATTAGATTAGGACATTTGTTCGTTAGAACGTTGGTTAAAATCAAGCCTTTATTTCAACGTTTTCCCGGTTCACTCAGGGACTTTGAAGAGACCTGTATAAATACAGGAATAGTAGCTAGTGCTGTGAATTCAGGGAGACCCTAAGAGGGTCATTTGCTGAAGGAAAAGCATGGTATTCGAATAATTATCTTTTGCTCTTATGTAGCACCCTTCATCAGTAAATAGGTGAGAAATATTACCTCTGTAGGAAATGGGCTTGAGGATCACACTAAAAAAAGTCAGGGACTTGAGTTTTGCCATTAACCATCCAGCAGCCTTAATTTTTCCATCCCAACTGCACAGCCCGCTCAGCCTCCTGGAAGGCTTCTGAGTAGCATAGTCCAAGAGGCAATTTTCTGTATTAAGTGTGTTATAATAAGAAGAGGGCTTGGTAGCAGAGCAGTGACAGCATCTCACTTAGGATCGAAAGGCAGAAGTTTGAGCCTCACTCTGGACTTGCACGGATGCCCTCCCAAAGTCAATTCAAGTGGAAATGCATGCCTGGTCATTCGGGCTGGGGAGTCAAAACCTTCCAAATGTGATGCTGGCTACATCGTATTCTTGCATGTTGTTGGCAATCGAAAACGGTGCTTCTTCAATGTCCTAGCTCCATGGGCCACTTCAGCTGGGACAGTCTTTGACCTTTTCTGATCATGACAGTCAACACCAGAGCATGTTTAAATCACTGTGCAACAAGTCCCCTCCCTATTTTGCTGATGTACATCCAGTGTAATTTGTGTGATAGCAGCTGAGCACCTATAGAATGAGAGCAGATTTCTGCTGTCTGGACATACACCTCTGCATTGCCAAACAGTCATACCAGGAGGGAGAAGATTTGTGCCAATATAAGACAGCCACTGGTGCAACGCCCCCTGCATGCCTGCTGTCAGGAACGTGTGACATTGCTGTAAAAGTGGACTCCTCGCACGTGCACCCTTTGAGCCAGGAGCCATCACTTGCGGTCTGGTTGTCCCTTACACAACAGGACAGGACATCCTGGCCATAAAGCAAGTCTTTTCCATGCCAAGGCACCTGTGCTAGGGGCATCATCTTGTCATTTCATAGAGCAACATTCCTCCCCTGCCACCTGCTCCAATAATAAACTAGAACATTTTGGCCCAGACTCGCAACTGATGTAAGCTAGTATAGCTCCACTGAGCTCAGTACCAGCTGCAGATCTAGCTCTGAAACCATAATGGGGCCAGCCTCAGAGATAAGTGATCGAAAACCTGGACAGGTAAAGACTGAGGCAGGGTCGATGAATGAATGTTGGATATTTGGAGTTGCATGGTTTTACAGCTGCCTCTGTTGCTTGACACATAGGGTGCTAACAGATGTCCAGCTCTCTGCTGTAACTCATGGTGCTTCACAGAAAGCGCCATGAGTTACAGTGAATCCCCTGACCCAACAGATGTTCACTGTTTGGTTGGGGTGGAGGGGGCTGATCCAGTGAAGAGAGGCTGCATGTTTGCAGCCTTTCTCCCCTAGCTCCTTTCCCTCCCAGCCCTACTGTCTTCAGGATTGGAGGGGGCAGAAGGCAGGGAAGGGAGCTCTACTCTGCAGTTTGCCTAGCCTGGGCTTGAAGGTGGATTGGAGCTCCCTCCCCAAGATATGAGGTGGTCTTGGTTCTCTTAATGATATAGAGAAAATATATATAAGTATATATATATAAGTATATATATAAGTGTGTGTGTATATATATATATATATATATAATAAATAAATACAAATATATATAAGAATGTATATATATATATATATATATATATATATATAAACAATAACGCCTTTCGTCAGGGCACAGCTGTAGACTGCTTTCAGGGGGCCAAATGTACAACAATTATCGCTTTTGTCAGTGCCCATAGGCTTTGCCTCTCTCTGCACTGAAGAGATTTTAAGACTCTTCCCTCTGTCCTGTTGCTGACAACCAACATTAGCACAAAATGCCAGCCTCATCTATAAGACCCCTTGTAACATGAGCTCCCAAAAGACACACCTGTCTGCTGTCTGTCTCACCCATCACCATTTCTAAGCCAAGAAGGACAATTTATTTAGCTGTGTATGCAGCCCCAGTTCCTCGCGTTTGGAATAATCTTGAAGAAGGCAACAGCCATGTAAATAAAATTGTCCCTAGAAATGAGCCCCAGCTTTGAGGGCCCCTGAGTTTTGCTTTGATACTCTTATCGAACTGTCTATAGTAGAAACTCTAGCTTTTTGCTTCTGGAACTAATTGTATAACAAAGGGTATCCAAACTATTCATGCTTTATACTTACTTTCACTGATTAGTTTGGAAATCCTTGACCAAGACTGAAGTCAGATCAAAACAGTTGGCTATCTGGGCTAAATGCCTCCTGACCAGCAACACTTCCAATGGTAGAGAGGCTGGACATGTCTGATATTTTCCCTTCCCAAATCTACCATTGATTCAGGGTATGTTTTCAAATCAGAAGAAAGGTATAATTGTAACATATGCTAGCAGACCTTTGCTACCTGAGCCTTGCTGGCCTACATAACAATAAGAGCAAAGACTGGGCTAGCAACCCGAATACAAGCTCTCCAGTGACCATGAGTATGTGCATTAGTTGCTTTAAAATACCAAAGCTCATGTCTCCATACCCTTTCAGCTATTGTCATCCCTACTAGCTAGATTAAGCTACCACAAGTCCGCTGCCATTATCTCTTTCCTGAAGACTATTACAGAGAGGAAATACACATACACACACAAACACACACACACACTGCTCTTCCCCCCCACCCAAATTTTTGTGCTCTCTTGCTCACTTTTACAATGGTACAATACAAAAACTTCTGTCATCTCCATAGAGCATCTAATTCACCCTAATACATTAGTTGTTAGTGTTAGCATCTAATTTACCCTCATTTAGAACGCTGGTTAAAAGCAGGCCCTTATTTCAACATTTCCCCATCCCTGTTCACTCAGGGACTTTAAAGCACGAGACCTGTATAAATATAGGAATAGTAGTTAGTGCTGTGAATCCCAGGAGAACCTAAGAGGTCATCTGCTGGAGGAAGCATATGGTAAATTAGTGCTAACACTAATAACCATTTTGACTGAGCGCATCATCTTGGTGGGAAAGTGCGACGTGCATCAAAAATTGAAAGCAGAGCTTACTGCAGACAGCGAACTGGGTGGATGTTCTGCATTCTTCTGCCAGGAATGCAATCTCTCCAGCATCCTCCATCTTGCAGTCTCGGATGATCATGGTATGTTGCTTGCCCGATGAGGTGATGTAGATTCGGTTGCTGGGCTTCAATTCTTCCTTATTCTTCAGCCAGCAGACGTTCTGACACTCGTTGTCCAGCTCCACGCAGAATATCGCCGTATCATTTACCCCAACTGCAGTCTTGCGTGGCAGCTTCTTAATGATGTTCCCTTTGAGAAATAAAGTAACCAAAATCATATGTCAGACTTGAAATACTTGAGCCTCACTGCACTACCCAGATCGGTTGGATCAACACAATGTCAACAGCTCCAGCTTAAATGCAATATATATTTTTGATTCAAGAAGTCTTGGGGGGAAATTCTAGATCAGAATAGGCTTTTGCAATGATTCCTTCCAGACTTCAATCCATGGAGCCATAAAAAGGGGGATAGTAAAGTCTGTAGTGGGTGGCTACAATCAACTGTACTTGCAGTTTAGGATCTGATGTTTCTTCTGTTGGGAAAATACAGCGTGTGTTGCCTTGGCAAAGGAAGCATTTAATTATGGGAGACAAGGCTCTTCAGGTGAATTTGATATCTGTTATTAGACCAACTTAAATAGTTGGAAACAAATTAATTATGGCAGGCTTTTATCATGTGCCATGAACCCATATTAATCCCTTCCTTAAGGAAGGCAGCATGCATCAGAGAACAGGTCAGTCCCTGGAGGGATACTGCTTTGGACTCCCTTACATTTATCCAATTACACAGTCAATCAAGGAGCCTGTAATATGTCCCCAATTACAATCACAATTTCTTTAATTTTTTGAACCCTCATATCTCTTTGGGCCTTTTTATCCCACAATGCCCACGCTTATCAACATGCACATGCGGCCATTTGTTTGCGGGTGCAAAACATGCACTTGTATATGCAAATCTAACGCATGATCAGGGCCCCGCTGTCTTCTGCCACCAGGCTCGCAATGAGTGTGTCAATGGGAGTAAGGGCAGACCATAAATAGGAAGGAGCAGATGCAGTTCCCTGCATTTTTCAGCGGGGTCTTTCCTTTACATTACGTGAAGGTGCTTGTCATTTATACAACAGCAAGCAAAATCAGAATCAGGGCCATCGCTCATGGATGTGTATTTGCAGATCCCCGTTCCTGCTGGTGAATCAGTAAGCTCAGTATAGATCTGTGTTTCTGAGTCCTCCGTTACTCTAAACCCTACACTTCAGTGCAGAGAAACCCTAACCCACCACACCTTTGGAAAAGTGGGATCTCAGTTTGGATCTGCCTCCAACTTTTGCCACTGGCTCCTAAGCTGTGTAGCCAGCCAAGGCAAATCTCCAGATCAGAGCAGCTCTCAGCTTCAGGTACAACTGGGTCCAAATCTAAACCCTGCAATATTGCACGTGTTACCTTCTAGCGACTAATCTGCATGCAAGGATTACAAGTTTGCTACTGAGTCCAGCTAAGGGCCAGATTTCTGTATGTGTTCTGCTGATTTCAGTTGTCCCAAATCCTCTCGCCCAACCAAGACCAACTTTTGCCTAGAGATGGAGACTTCCCCATTAGCAGCCCATTCAAGGAATTACCTTAGCAGCAGCTCATGCCTTGCAAGATGACAGTCGTACTACAGTTTATTGGTCAGATGGTAAAAACTAGCTGCAAACCCCACTTAAAACCATCAGCGCAGTCAGGAAAAGATTCTGATCCCAGCAATTGATAAATGGTAAGAAGCAAGATTAGAAAGGGAGGAAAATAAACCCAATGGGAGTGAATATTCTCTCTCTTACCTTGGACGGTCAGTTCTGCAATGGTCCTGCTCCCTTCTTTCATCTCGCAGATATAGACAGCATCGTCGTCCGTGGTGACGTTCTGAATGGTGAGCCGGCGGTACGTTCCCTCTTCTTCGATGTTGTACTTCTTGCTCTGCTGGAGTTTGGTCTCCTCCTTGAACCAGGCGGTCTCCGTGCTTGGAACAGGCACCTCGCACTGGAACATGGCAGACTCTTTCTCCTGAACTTCAACGTCCTCCAGCTTTGTCTTGAAAGGAACCACAGGCTCTGGGGAAAGGGAGACAAGACATGAGAACTTGCAAGGCCTTGGAGGTATGGACGGTGGGAACCAATAATCCAAACGACTTGTGCATTATCACCAACTTTTGCTGCGATTTGCATTGTGCTGGCATCCAAAGGTTTGACGCTGGGATCAAGCCCCGTTGTGGCGGGAGCTGAACCAACGTGTTCTTCAGAGGATGTTCTGCCACTGAAGAACACAGGTTGACTCGGACAAGCATTTCAGGACATTTCACAGAGTTTAAGACCAGAAAGGGCCTTTTATCTATCCAGTCTGACTGCTCACATGATGCAGGCCATAAAGTTTCACCTAAGTATACCACCACAAGGCTAAAGAACAAAGTATGTCAAGACGACAAACGGGTTTAGGGGAGAAGAACCCAAGGTAACAACGTTAGGAGGTGAGATGAATGCATAACAGAGCCTGCCTTTTGCATCGTCGTTACAACAAATAATATGCTGCATGCACAATGGAGGGGAGCCAGCGGGAAAGATGTGGAAGGGAAGTGGGGAGAGGTTTGTGGATGCTCCTTTCACGACGAGGACAAGAAGCATGTATTTATTGTAGTGGAGAAGGGGGGACATGGGGCAGAGGGCGTTCAGCGCTGTGGATCTTGCTCCTTGTGTTTTGGGAACCCAGCTCGATCAAACCCTCACTCGCAGGCTGGACAAGATTATCTAGTGCACCTTGGGCTATGTTTCCATGCAATTCAATCACAGCTAATCAAGGGGAGGGTGGTATACCTGTTCTTGCACCTTTTTTGCATGAGGATCTCAAAACACTTCATAGAGACCGCTCTCCAGTGGAGAAACTAAGGCACAGAGAAGAGTCGGATACAAACTCAAGGTCAGATACAAGCTTATGGCAGAACAAGGGACTGATCACGGGTCTCCTAAGCCCTATCCTAGCACTCTGATCACAGGATAATCCTTCCTCAGTGACACCATCAGACCCAGGGATAGAGCCTGGTTCATCTACCTCCCCGTTCTCAGCTTCCCTTAACAGATCACAGCTTCTGTTCAAAACTTTTTTGTTTCCACCTACGTGCAAAAGCTGAGCCAGGGCATCAAGGGGATACACGTTATAAACAGAACAGAGGGATTTAGCTCTCTGAGCTCAGTAACTCAGCTGGCAGCCACCATCTTACAGCACTTTGAAAATGGATCTTTTGCAACCCCTAATACGCAAACATGTAACAGGAGAGAGAAAAATTGGCGCTTGTTGAAAGACTGGGTGGGAACAGGCTGTGCTCAAAGCAATAGGGAAATGACTGAGGAGCCTTATGTAACATGCTAGAATAGCCGATGCCTCCTGCCGGACAGACTGCCAGAGCCCAACCAGCTGTATGCTGGGGGGCAGTGGGGGCAAACCTTTCTGGTAGGCATGCCACAAATTAGCCCTGCACCTTCCCCAAGTGCCACTTCAATCCCTTTCCCCCGCCAGATCTTTTGCTCAGCTTTCTGCTCCCTGCCCTACCCGCCACTGTTGTCCCTGCTCCCAGGCCACACATCGAGGCGGCTCTGCTACGTGTGGTATGCAATATGCATGCCGCTGCTTGGCCGCCCATGCTGTAGGCACTGGTGGCACACAAAGATCAGGCCCTGAACCGTGAAGTCATGCTCCGGAGATGAGGAGCCTCCGTTTTGCAGAATTCAGGGGATGCGGTATATTTTGGACGGTAGGGTTTTCCTGGCTAGCTTGACTTACATCTCCACAGAGGACGCATACATCAGCCATCACCTCTGAGGAAGAAAATTGAACATGCACACCTGTTGCTGCCAGAGTCTATCCCCAGCTTGCAATATTTCACGCTATCTAGGGCACCTTCCAGAAGCAGCTCTTCTGCCTGCAGCCCGCCGGCCAGCGGGTATAACTCATGCTCTCCTGTTCCTCAAGCACAAAAATTAGAAATCTGTTCCTTTTGGTCAGGCTATGGAGATAGTGCAGTCAGCTCTGGGGCTGGCTATTTCATGCCGTGGTGCCCCCATCACAAAAGCACCCCCTTCACTTCTAGTTCAGAGCCTGCAAATTTTAGCCACACGAGGGGATTCTGCAGCCACACTAGGAAGGACCGATGCTAGGTCCCAGTAATAGGGTGATTAGGGAAGTCTTGAATGGATTACGTGCACTGAGAAATAACTGGGAACTTTTGCATGCTGCAGCCTAGGCTACGACCAGTTTCCAAGTGGTGACTGGGGGGAAAACGGGCATGAGCTTCACCGACCAAATATGATTATTACCTTGGAAAGATTAAACTCCTGCCTCAACCTGCTTCCTGAGCAAATCTAAGTGTATCTATATGGAAGGGAGTCTAAACTGGTGTAACAAACACCTCTTCTGGCCCCCTCGGCACGTAAAGTTATCCTCCACCCAGGGACGGATATGTAATGCACACCCTCCCAATACATACCACCTCTCAATTTATCCTGCTGTGCCTGAGAAAGTATGAGCTGATGTACCTTGCCTGGAGAGAGGGGTAGAGAGCAGGAAAGCACTAATCAGAGGGCCAACTTCAGAAATGATGTGCGTGCTACAAGAGGCTGCAGCTCCAGGGGCTCCTACGGGAATGGGACAGGTATCCAGGTGGTAGCTGCGTTGCTGTAGCAGCAAAAGCAATTAGGACTCATGGTAGAGGTGATATCTAAGGGCATGTGATTCACGTGCTGAAAGGGCCAGAAAGAGGCACAAGATATACCAGTTTATATTCGTGGGAACTCATTCCCATATGTGGAGCAATGAAGCCAATTCTTCACCCCTATCATTTTCCTTCCACTTTGCAATCACAGCATCTAACACAAAACAGAAAGCCCTCCCGGGAAGAGATGTGCATGCCTTAAATATAGACATCTAATAACAGAGGACATCCAGCTGAAAAAGATGCCTGAGCTATAGCCACGGAGCTGAGTTTATGTCTGGTAGAGGTAGGACTGATCCTGTTGGTAGCCGCCTAGACTCAGCAACATCCTCTGAAAGCAAAATTTGATTTTGAAATTGGATGCAATTTTAGTTTTAGTTTTCCCAGGAATGATCTGTCTCAATTAAAAAAGCTGCAGCTGAAATCAAACTGGCTACATGAATCAAGGACAATAAAAGTCCTTCTTCAGATACGTGAGGAGTTGGAAGAAAAACAAGGGCAACATTGGACCCCTACTGAACCAATTGGGGCAGCTAACTACCAACACCCAGGAAAAAAACAATCTGCTTAATGATTACTTTGTGTTGGTTTTTCACCAGCCCACAGGGACCACCAAGGCGGGATGACCCAGGTGAGGGAGAATATATGCCCACTATTGGCATAGATTTTGTGAGGGCACATCTTGAGAGGCTGGACCCCCACAAATCAGCTGGTCCAGATAGGTTGCACCCAAGAGTGCTAAAGGAGCTGGCAGACATCATAGTGCAGCCACTGGCGAGGATATTCAAGAACTTGTGGTGCTCAGGTGAAGTACTTGAAGATTGGAAAAGGGCCAATATGGTGCCCATCTTCAAGAAAGGGAGGAAAAAGACCCGGGAAACTACAGGCCAATCAGTTTGACCTCAATCCCTGGAAAGATCTTGGAAAAAATCATCAAAGAAACCATTCTTGATAGGCTAACAGAAGGTAACATTCAGAGGGATAGCCAGCACAGGCTTGTTGCAGGTAAGTCTTGCTTGACCAAACTCATTTCCTTCTATGACCAGGTGATGTATCACCTGGACAAAAGGGAAGAAGTTGCTGTCATATATTCAGACTTTAAAAAAGCCTTTGACCTGATGTCCCATGATGTCCTCATGGAAAAATTGGGCAACTGCAGCCTTGACTACTCCACAGTCTGATGGCTGAGGAACTGGCTCCGAGGTTGGACCCAGAGAGCGGTAGTTGATGGAACCAAATCAATGTGATGCTTGGTGACCAGCGACGTCTCCCAAGGCTTCGTTCTTGGACCTGTGCTCTTTAATGTCTTCATAAACAATCTGGACACTGGTGTCAGGAGAGGACTGGCCAAGTTCACCGATGACACTAAATTTTAGGAAAGAGTGGTTGGTGATCCAGGCCATCCTCGATAGGCTTGCAAGATGGATGGATGAAAACGTGATGGCATTCAATATGGAGAAATGCAAGGAGCTCCACCTCAGGGGAAAAAAAGCCCCACATCACACTTATAGGCTCGGCAATGCTACGCTCACTAGCATCATGACCGAAAGAGACTTGGGGGTCAGAACTGACCATAAGATGAACGTGAGCCACCAATGTGATACTGCAGCTGGTAAAGCAAACAAAACTCTGGCTTGCATCTACCGATGCATCTTGAGCACATCCCAGGACGTCATCCTCCTGCTATACTCAACTTTGGTGGGGCCCCAGCTGGAGTACTGCATCCAATTCTGGACTCCACAATTCAGGAAGGACATGGAGAAACTTGAGAGAGTGCAGAGGAGAGCCATGCTCATGATCAGAGGGCAGGAAAACAGGCCTTATGATGAGAGGTGGAGAGCCATGGGACTCTTCAGCCTGGAGATACGCAGGCTCAGGGGGGACCTGGTGGCTGCCTATGAGTACATCAGGGGTGGGCACCAGGATCTGCAGGAACGCTTATTCACCAGAGCGCCCCAAGGGATGACAAGGTCCAATGGTCACAAACTCCTGCAAGAGTGTTTTAGGTTGGACATAAGGAAAAAATTATTTACTGTCCGAGCCCCCAAGGCCTGCGATAGACTCCCTCTCAGAGTTGGTGCAAGCACCTACTCTGGACACTTTTAAGAAACATTTGGATGCTTGTCTTACTGGGATCCTTTGACCCTATCTAACTTCCTGCTCTTTGGGCGGTGGGGCTGGACCCAATGGTCTTATGAGGTCCCTTCCAGCCCTAATATCTATGAAATCTCCAAGCCTGGACTTGATAAAAATTAGGCTGATCCTAAATTTCCTATCAAATTTAATGGTCTTGACTTCCCACCTGGACTGCGTCTTCCATGATGCAATGCAACCTCACATCTGGTTAAGTCAACATTGTTCACCACTGGAGTTCAATAGCCAGAATGCATCTCGGCAGACCATAGTGTCCATCCTTGGAGGTTTTTAAGACCCAGGTAGACAAAGCCTTGCCTGGGATGATCTAGTTAGGAATGGTCCTGCTTAGTACAGGGGGTTAGACGATGACCTCCTGAGGTCCCTTCCAACCCTAATTTTCTATGACATGGAGCATCTGAACTACAGTTTCCAAGAGGCAAACCAGTAGCTCAGCTGGATGTAGTTTCACGATGAACCAGATTCAAACTTTGAATCAAAATGATCTGCCATTTCTAAACCAAACTTTTTCAGAACCTCTCATCCCACCAGCAAAAATATCACTGTTTCTACTTCCTCATCATTTGGGATGAAAACTCAGGTTGCAGCTTCACAATGCGTTGCAAGCCGAAGATCCCAATTTTCGGTCCAGTATAATAAAAAAATCATATAAGAGCAACTGCTTTATTCTAGATTCTGTGCTGCTAACAGAAGGCTCATCTCCATTGTCTCAAAATGCACTAAAAGGTTATTTGAGGATGTCTTTGATATCCACATACATTTTTAAACACTTCCTGTCCTTTTCGCCATATACCTATTCCCCAGTCCAATGCCTAATTTTCCCCTCTGTTGAGTATGAATATACCCCATTCATGGCAACCAAATGGAGCCCTTTTCAATGGGAGGACTGCAAGGAAGGGCAAGAGTGAAGCCCCAAAAGCTTCTGCATCCCTTTTCTGGGTTTTGTGCTGTTCCTCACTTCCCCTGCCGTGTCACTCCATTTTCATCTGTTTTCTATCTCCATTGCAGAGTAGTGGGCATGCAGTTTAACACATTTAAGAACCAGGTAGCCAACCATTAGCCTCAGTCCCCAAACAAGGCACTGACTTTCTATACATCCATGACCTTTAACCTTTACCATCACTTTCTGGTTACTTAACCAGTTCCCTCTGCATTCAGTTGGCCCAGCTCTTCCTGCCTTTACCTAGGCAAACTTCTCATGAACCAGACCCAAGAAGAGTGCCTTGTATGCAATACTTCCTAACTTTATATGCCATATGCAGATGTATCAAATGCCTTCTGGAAACTCAAGTTGTTTATGCTCGTCGCTTCATCCCACCTGCTCGCCGAGTTGGCTCCTGGAAACATTCAGACCAGTTTCTCAGACAAGATTTACCCTTTAAGAAACCTGGCTTACTGCCTTCCATGGCTCACATTGCTGAAGATATTTTGGATTTCATCCTTTCTTAAAAGCTCTCGAATCCTGCCCATCACTAGTATCATGTGTGCCATTTAATTATTTATTTATTTGCTTGCTAGTCTTAGCTTCTGTAGTGCTAGAAGTTGTCATTTTGCTAACTGTGGAGCCTGGGGAATTTGGTCATTAGGAGATGGTCCGTCTGTGAAGCAGCTAGTTATTTAGGGAGAAACAAGGGGCTGCAGAGGTTGCCTGCTGCTCCACAATAAAGTGCGTTGTTTGGTTCCTGTACACCTATATTTATTGAACCCAGTGATCACTACAGCCCTCCTAGGATCTTTCTCACTAGCAGATCTCTTCCTTCCAGCGCATCCTTATAATTAGAAATTTAGTCCAAGAGGCCTCAGGAGCTATTAAAAGTCCTAGTTTTAACCCGGGGATCTCCTTAAGTCCTGATGCAGCAAAAAACAAACAAAAACCCCCCAAAAAATCACTTTAACCAATTTTAAATTAGAAAAGGGAAGCCTAAACACACGCATTACACATGCACTTTTTCGGATAAGAACCCTGAAGAATATCTCAGCAATGGCTTGAGATTTTCAAAGCTGTCAATGAGATTTAATCACACAAGTTCTGCCCAAAATAACAGTAATGGAAATGGTCTCTCTAAACCCACAATTGGCTTTGAAAATGTAAACATAGAAGCTTTGTCTTCTCGGGTAATAACAATCAGGAGCCATGTATCTGAGATGACCTTGATGGGTCCCATAAATGTGCTATTATTTGAATGCAGTCTGCTGTTGATATGGCATGTGGTGGACATTGGAGAATCTGGTTGTGTCTGCAACATCAGACTAAGAGAAGATTGTTCAGTGGAGATGTGCTGCTTGCATACAAGACCTCAAAGACAAGTGGGACTAATGACACATCAGCGACCATATAAATAACAGAATGAAGCTTCACTTCATTGCTTCTTCTTTGGGAGATGTGCTTTTGGAGGCCCAAAGGGGACTCACGATGGCACAAAGATAAGTCATTATCCAAAAACTAATTATAACCATCATGCAAAGAGTTTCCATTCCCTTCTACCCTTGATGAGAAAGCCTGAACAAAATATGCTGTAACAAAGAAACAGACCATAAACATTTCCATTTTAACTCTCTGACTCACTGGCACTGCTTGACCGTAGACACTGATAAATAATATTTTCCTTTGGAGCTATGGGCAGTGATCAGCAATGGCACGCTCTCCATGTCAGACAGACAAACTGAAGCTTCCAAGGCATAAATGAGATTAGACCCCGGTTTAAAACCCGTTCCAACAATGCTCTTTAGACCTTGTTCTATGCTTATAAATCACTTTTAAATCTTCTCTCACTCAGATAAGATCCATCTCAATGATTTACACCTAGCATATTGTATTGCCTTCATAGAGTCTTAACACAACCCACCAATATATATGCATACATACAACATATACACATACATTTATATATGTATATGTGTACATACACACATATATTTGCTCACATGCTTTTCTTCAAACCAAAGCAACGTAGGATGAAATGCACGGGCAACAGTACAGTATTTTGAGCCAAAGCCCGTTCAAGTCAATGGGAGTCATTCTGCTGAGTTCATCAGGCTTTGCATCAGGCCATGGAGAACAGTGTTTGTGCTACTTTTAGTTTACCCCAGTTTTCCTCAGCATCATATTTTAATGGTAAGCAGTAAACCACATAGCTGTGAATGTCCTCAGACAGGGACTTTAAGGAGGTGCTGAGTGCTAAGCCCAAATTCAGGGGACAAAAGCAGGCTGGGGTGGAACCGAGGTGCCTTTGTCTGCAACTGTCACCAAAAAAACTCTAGGCGCTGGCTCAGTTAAAGTTCTTGCTTGAGGTTCAAGTAGCACCGCTGTGCTCAGAAAAACACCGCGGTGAGAGCACTCATCCAGGAAGTGGGAGACGTGGGCTCAATCCCCACTTCAGGCTAAAGAGGTTCAAACTCAGCCATCCCAAATCCCAGGAAAATGCTGTGGCACCCACGCTGGCAAAAAGTCCTTTGTAGCCACGCCACTGTGTAGCAAAGAATGCAAAACTCTGGGTGCCAGTACTGTAGCAAGGGAGGGGCAAATGGGCAACTGCCCAATCTATATCTATAGATAGATTAGATAGATATAACTATATAAAATAAATGAATGTATTTCTACTTATTGGGTTTAAAAAAACCCACTATCATGAGGTTTCTTTGGAGCCTGACTCATGATATTTTGCCCAATTTGGATCGGCAATGCGGTACACAATATCTTTTCAAATGACGAGGAGCAAAACGCACTTGCAGCACTCATCATTCTGTTGGGTTTTTTTAATTACACCCCAGGATGAGAATGAGCTCTACAAATATGCTAGAAAACTGTTATTTCATACAGAAATCTCTTGTTTTTCTGAGCCATTTCACCATCTAGAAATCATGATTTTGAAATGATTCTGTTCACATTAAAAGGACAAAAGTGACCTGTTCACATATGCACACCTCACTTGCACAGAGCCTTTCTTACAGTGCAAGCAGGCCTCTGAAATTTTGCAAGATGGGAGAACAGTTTAAATATTCAAAGCGAAATAAGGACATTTTCTTTTGGGGGGAAGTATTTGCATTTCGGATTTTTCACATGCCTCTATTAGACACTGATCTCATTTATAGCAGAGTCCACAGCCTTTTCCTGGCTGCACGAAGCACAGCCGTCCTGGGTTTAGCAGCTCTGGGGGCACATGGGTTCCCAGCAGTTGATGCTGGGAAAGAAGGCAGACTAAAAAATAGAGAAAAGAGGTCTAGAGAGCATCAGCTGTTTATGGAGATGTGAAGAGAGGGGTGGCCAATGGGTTCCTCCAGTGAGAAGAACAGACCTGGAAATAGCACTGGTCTTGCAGGCCATTTAGGGATCCCAGAAGAGACCAAAGGATGGGCTTAGATGGGAGGTGTTTCCTCTACAATGACATGCAAGTGGTTCTGGGAGACTTCATGAAATGAAAAGGGGGAAATGGGAGGTTTTGCTGTCGTTAATCAAGACCCTGATCAGGAGAGACAAGTTTTGACCCAGGAGTCAACGTCGCAGCCCCCGCAGATGAGTAAACGCACCCCCTTACCTTTGACAACCACTAGCACGGAGCTGTAGGTCTGTCCTGCCAGGTTGGAGGCCGTGCACGTGTAAAGCCCGTTATCAATCTGTTTGCAGAAGAGGATCTTCAGCACAAAGTTCTCCTGCTCGTCCTCATAGATGATGTGCCGGCGCCCTTCCATAATCACCTCGCCATCCTTCTTCCACACGATCTCAGGCTTGGGCTCTCCCGTCACGTAGCAGCTCAGCTTGGCATGCTTCCCCTCTGTCACATTGCACGTGCGGGTCGTCACGCTGAAGGTGGCATTTCGAGCTGCTTTGGTGGTCAGGCTAGCAGCCCTCTCGTAGTCTAAAGACAGGCTGTAGCCAATACCGGACAGCCCTTCTGTGGCTGAGTATGAATGGGTATCCGTGACTCCATAGATGGATAGATCCGTCTTCCTGATTTCCTCCCGCCGCTTTTGCAAATGCGACAGCAAAGAGGTAGTCTTGCCATAGCCTGTGTCTAAATGGCTGGGGCTGTCCAGGTTGCAAGGACCCTGCGTCTCCACCACCAGCGCGGCAGTAGCGCTGGCTTGGCCGATGGGGTTCTCCGCTCGACATGTGTATGTCCCGCTGTCCCCCAGCCGAGCGCACTGGATCGTGAGAGCGTTTGACTCCCCGGCAGACTCGACTTGGAAGCGCTTGGAGTCCGATCGGCCCCGCAGATGCCTCCCGTCCTTCTCCCAGTTCACAGAGAGTGGTGGGCTGCCTTGGACTTTGCACCTGAACGTTGCATCTTCCCCCAAAGTGACTCTGATGGAGGAGGGTTTCTGGATGAAGTATGGGGCGAATGCTGTCACGGTGGTCTCCTCCCCGACTTTGATGCTGACTGCGGCAAAAGCTTCCCCAATGGTGTTTCTGGCCCTGCAGATGTACTGGCCGCTGTCGTCCAAGCTGAGGTCGTAAATGGTGAGCCGGTATAGATCTCCATCTTCCACCGTTTTAAACCTCCCCCCAGACTGGATGGGAAGTTTATCTTTTTCCCAGCTCACCACTGGGACGGGGTTTCCAATGATCTGGCAGCTCAGGGTGGCATCCTTCCCCACAGATACCAGAAAGGCCTTCGGTCGGGTTAAAAACCTTGGGACTCCACTGAAGGAGGATCTGTAGTCCATCTTGGTTTCCTAAGGGAAAGAAAAAACGAAAGCTGATAAGCATGTGCCCAGCACATCTGTTCTGTGTCGCAATGATGCCGAGACATCAATCCTGGGAAATGACAAGATTGGCAATAGCTTCCAGTTTCCAAGTTATGGCCACAGAATCACAGAAATGAGGGTTGAAAGGACGTCAGGGGGTCACGTCTAGTCCACCCCCCTGCTCAGAGCAAGACTATCCCCAGCTAGACCATCCTAGTCAAGGCTTTATCGAGCTGGGTCATAAAAACCTCCAAGGATGGAGATCCCACCACCTCTCTGGGTAACCCACTCCAGCACTTCACCACCCTCTTTGTGAGAAAGTTTTTCCTAATATCCAACCTCAACCTCCTTTGCTGCAAATTGAGCCCATTGCTCCTTGTCCTGTCATCTGCCCCCCTTGAGATCAGTCCAGCTCCATCCTCTTTGCAGCCCCTTGCAGGGAGGTGAAGGCTGCATTTAAATCCCCCCTCGGTCTTCTCTTCTGCAGACTAAATCAGCCCAGGTCCCTCCACCTCTCCTCACCAGTCCTGTCCCCCAGCCCTCCAACCATTTTCCTCCTTCTGCTGGACTCTCTCCAACATGTCCACATCCTTTCTGTAGTGGAGGGCCCAAAACTGGACACAGGACTCCAGATGTGGCCTCACCAGTGTTGAATAGAGAGGGATAATCACTGCCCTCAATCTGTTGGCAACGCTCCTACCAGTGCAACCCAGGATGCCATTAGCCTTCTTGGCAACAAGGGCACACTGTTAACTCATATCCAATGTATTGTCCACTGTCACCCCCAGGTCCTTTTCTGCAGAGCTGCAGCTTAGCCAGCAGCTTCCCCCCAGCACCACCTTTGCCTGATGAGGGAGCAAGCGCTAGTGACATAACGGGTCTTCTTGGGACAGTCTGGCTCATGGTGGACCGGTGGGAATGTGACATCCACAATACTTCTCCCCTCATCATCTCCACCTTTCCATCTCTACTTCTGCTTCATTTCTCTTCTCCTTATGCTTATCCCTCATTTTCTTCATTTGAATTTCTCCTTATCCTTTCCATGCCCCACCTCTATTTTCCCTTTGTTTCCTTCTTTTCCTCCTTATGATTCCTAGGGCGCATCCTGCAAAGGCAGCAGGTACTTGAGGACATCATGAGGAAGAACGTCCTGACCATAAGGGTAGCTCATCACTAGCACAAATCTCCTACCATCTCTGTTACTAGCAATTTTTAAGTGACAGTTAGACAAATATGTATCTGGGAGGCTTTAGACTGGGGTGATTTGCCTTGAGGAGGAAGATGAACCTCTTGAGGTCACTTCCAGCCCTATTTTCTGTTTTTATGACCACGCACTAGCAATGAGGTTCCTCCCAGTAGGAGGTAGTGCTCGGTTGGACAAGCTTGGAGCTTGTTGATGTTATCCTCATCCATCCTCCTCTGGTATTTAAAGCAACCGTTTAACAACGAGCTAATTTCTCACTGGGGATAGCAAGCGGATGACGGCCACTTACGCCTCCTTTGATAAGGCAGAGAAGCTGCTTGGACATTTGCAATGGAAACGGCAAGACTGAATCCAAATGAGCGCCGGGATCTTTGGAAACTCATGCTTTAAAGCTCAAAAGAATGACCCATGGTGTGCGGCCAGCGTCCCTTGCACAGCCCTAAATACCTGCTGCTCACTAGCTCCCAGCTGTTCGGAAAGACCAGTCAACAAAGGGAAAACAAAATAAGCAGGTTTTGGACCTCGAAATCAGGGCAGGTCTGCTCCTGGTGTGTCCCAAGACGGTTAAAAGTCATTAGCAGCAGCACGAATCATTACTGTAACATTCACACACATGCTCTGTCCTTGGGGGCCTGGGAGAGCCACGTCAAAGACATGGGGTCATGTGAAATGCTCATTCAGTCCCACACAACACCTATCTTGCAGGGAGCTGCCACATTTTTTGCTACCCCTGCACTTGGATGCCCGGACGTCCCTCTTTCGGTTGGGGGAATGAGATCCCTTATGCCTACAAGGCAAAAATGCTGACTGCCTGCTTTTGCCTTAAGGCACTGCAAAAAGAGCAAGCCCGCCAGCTGCAACCCCCGTTGGGAGACTTTTCAGAACGGCGTCAAGCATTCGATGGCAGCAGGTGCCATTTCACAGAGATGCTATCGCTTCTCCAAGGATGCCAAACAACCTTGTGCAGGACTCAGACCCACGGAGTTGGATGGGAGTTCTCTAATTAGTGATCATCTCCAGCCTTTTCAGGTCCACTATTTTTCACCTCCTGACGCCTACACAAAGCAGCGCGATGGCTGGGATGCTGGGCGGCTGTTAACAACTGCGAAAGGAAAGATTAATCAGTCACAGAGACAGAAATATCTCCCTTAATCCCTCAGAAGTTTAGCTTCCTTGCCTGCCATCAGTCCACCCACCAAATCACCCAATGAAAATTGTCCTCGGGACTCTCCTCACCCATAGGAAATCACTAGGACCGGGTCTAAAACGCTGCTTAGCCCCCTGAGAGAATGAGTCACTATTCATGCAGCTGCTTTCTACCCTTCCCCCTAATTCATATTTTGATGCAATATTTTGATGCTGGCTCCAAATCAGCTTTGAAGCAAGGGACTGAGTTAGGATTCCTGGGTCCAATTTTCAGCTCTGCCACTGACCTACTATATGATCTTGGGCAAGTCACTTCACCTCTGCATTTCTGCTTTATTTGGTCTATCTCTTTAGGTGCTAAGATGTTTCTCACTATATGTGTGGACACTACCTAGCACATGCACACAACAAATAATGTTTAAATATACAGGATACTAACAAACTAATCTTTTTCTATTTCCCCTGCTGGGGATCAAACACCTAAATCCAAAAACAAATGTTTGAAAAGAACTGGGAGATCACTGGTTCAAAAATGCAAGCTTTGCATTCATTAATTATTAGTAGCGATCCGATAAATTTGCTGCCAGGGTACTGAAGATCAAAAACAATGAACACGACCTTCCTTTTATACACGAGCTCTCCCTTCCCTCTGCTCTGACAGCGTGGCTGTGTTACCATTGGAATTAATCAGAAACTTTCCATTTGACTGAAAATATTTTTGGACAAAATGGAAAGATTTGTGTGTGGGGGAGGAATCCTCTTCTTATAAAAAAAAAAATTTTTTTTTCCTTGAAAAGCCCAAACCATTCATTGGCAGACAAGGTTCCTTGTCTGCCTGTGTCCTTAGACCGACACAGCTACAACCTACACCCCTGCAAACCATTCATTTCAGTTTTTGTTAACCAAAGCCTGAAGGCATTTCAGTTTAAACAAAAATTATGCCATTTTTTATTGACAAACGCAAGAGGACGTGTCAGGCTTTCTTCTCCAACATATCTTCCTCTCAACAACAACAACAAAAAATTAAAGAAAACTGCTACAAAAATGAAAGAAGTTGAACATTTTCCCTAGGAAATGTCATCATTCATAACCAACTCTGGTTACCTTAGGGTGGTGCTACAGGTTACCTTTAACCCATCACAAAGGCACTTAAAACAGGAGCATTCACCTCTTAAAGGGCATGATCCCATGTGAAAGGGACCTTCTAAAACTTTTAAAGATAAGGTTATCTTTGACCTGTATTGCCCTGGTCCTTCTAGGGTATGGTTAGGCAGCACCGGGGAGATACAATACTTCATTCCCAGTCCTCCAGCATCCCAGGATACACAGCTCCCAGCCCCATTACCCATTTCCATCCTCCAAACCTCTACTCCTCCCCCCATCCTCTGCTCTGAGCAGCTCAAGTGCAGCAAGACCATGAAGCCAGGGAGACCGTGGTAGCACGCCCAGCAGCTCCACTCTCAGTGCAGAGCACTGCATTCAGTGACCTGATCCAGTGATTCTCAACCGGGGCTGCCTTGAGACCCTTTCAAGGGTACCACACAACGCTAACCCTGTTAGGTTTAGAAACATGATCCACAAGACAAACCCAGAGATTTCACATATGACCCCATCGTGTTAAGAGCATGCTGATCTGTTGGGATCTGAGTTCTTTGCAACAGAAGAATTGCTCTATTATTTTTCTATAGTATTAAAAGGAGTGAAAACTAAGAGCTGGCATTGGCCAAGGGGTGTCTCGAGTCTATCAAGGGGTGCTTAAGTCTATTGAAGGGTGCCTCAAGTAGCACCATGTCTAGGGTATTTAAGTGCATCCAGTTCATTGGAGCTAGAGGTGTTGGGGGAGACAAAGACCTGCTGGAAAGGCATGGCCGGGTACTGTCAAAGGCAGACAGAAAGCACCTGTAAAAGCCATGCTTAGCTCTTATGTGGCATTTGTCACCCATGTATTTCAAAAGCACTTTGCAAAGGAGGCTCAAAATCATCTCTCACGGATGGCATGGATAGGAGACCTCTTTCATTCCCTCCAAGATGCAGCTGAGGCACCTGGGTGGAGGGTTGCTCTGTTTCTGCCTATGCTATGTTGCCTGCGTGGATAAATTTAGGATGTCATTCTCTAGGGCCCCTTTAACCAGCACTGAAATAACCACGGAAAAAGCATTCTCTTCTCTGAGACTCCCTGCTCCTTTCACCCTCCTCTTCTCCACCTCCAAGCTTTATGCCGCCACCCCGCTCCTACCCTGGCCTTGCTCCCGTCCATGCCTCTGCTTGCCAGCCCTCCAGTGGCAAGTCATCATTATGCAGGTCTGAAACAGCATCCAGCCTGAACTGCTCAGACTTTGTGACACCAAGATTTAAACTGTTTTAAAGGTAACCTGTAACAGCACCCTAGTTTCTCCTGGATGGGCACGATTATCTACCCTCCTAATGGCTGCTGGGTGAAGAGAATATAAACCCTGATACTATTAGGAGTCTAATTTTTCCCTCCTCCTTTCTGCCCAGCCTTTCACAGCACCTGACAAAGTGAACTTGGATTCATAACCACTTGTGCTGTCTCCATATAGTTTATTTAGTCAGTCTATCAAGATGCATGTCTATCCTGCCTTCGGACTGACTTCAGCTAACTCCCTCTCACTATTAC